TCTCACTGCTGCACCCAGTATCTCGTACAACTTTTGCTTTCTTGTCCCCAACATAGCCTTCACCTACTGGCATGTTGTGGTTTGTTGGTACCTCTCCATGTTTGCCACATGCTCTAATCACCACTGGCACCGTTGATTCAATTGCTAGCTATCCATCCTGCACTGGTGATAGCACTTTCTCCTTGTGGTGAATCTGACAAGTTGTCTTCATTATGTTTCTTCTGGTAGCAGTACCCATGGTAACATTCACTCTTTTCTTATTTCTTGCCAGCACCATTTTTGTGGGTAGCTGCAGCCACTTTATGTTGAGATTTCTGCTGCTGCCTTTTAGTGACATTTTAAAACAAGCATAGTATCTCTTCTCCTTTTTGTTTGTTGACTAATTGTCACCTTTGAAGGCACCCCTTCTGGTCAGCTACCCCTGGTTTCGATTTGAGTAGTTATTCTTGGACTTGCCAGTTATACTATCTCTGTGGCCTTCCATATAGTGTTCTGACAGCTTGGTCATTTCATCCATGTTTTTCAGTGCTCTCTCCTTTAGGAAAAGTGACATGTCAGTCCATCTTGCTGTAGATGTGCCATAAACTGATATACTGTTTCCCCAGTGTGAGGTTTGACTTCCCTGTACTTCCGGCATTTATGGGCCTTTTCCTGTGAAGACTTTTCCTGAGATAGACTGCCCAGTCACCTATGTCCCAATTCTGACTTTGGGCAAATCTTTGATATCTCCCCAGGAAAGCATCCATGTCATCTTTCTGTTCATCAAATTTGGGCAGCTTTCTGTTTGGTGAGCTTGAAGTTCTCAATTTGTGCTCTAAATCTGTATTTCCAGTATCTCCTCTCTCTTCTTTTCTTCTTCTTTCTCTTTTTGGCCTTGTGTTTCATGCTCATGTTCTTCTTTCTGTCTTTCTCTTCTCTGTCTCTCTCTTCTGTTGATGCTCTTCTCTCTTTAGGTCTTTTTGCTGTTTAACAAACTCTCATAGATCATTACCTTTGAGCCCAAGTCACTCACCCTTCTCTATCCACTTATCAAAATCAGTTGACATGGTTATATATAGTGTGGATATGACCTCTACAATATTTCTGCCACTGATACAGCTGTGTGCGTATATAGGCCTCTTTGCTACTGTTGTTTATGTCTTCTTCTACCACCATTTACCACTGTAGATCCTGATTGACTTGCCACTGTTAAGTTTTGTAAGGTTGCATCACAGCATCACAGTCCGCTTATTTTAAAAATAATATATTAAAAACAAATGAAATGTATATACAAATGGACATTACACTGTTGGTTACTATAGTTGTAACCAAAGCTTTAAATAATTGTCTCTTTTTCATCAAAGTGTACATAAGCTGATTCAGTTACTTTAGAACACAATTGAGAAGACAAATATCATACTCTACTCTGTTATTACAATACAGTCTGTGATAATTTCACTTTAAAAATCATCACCACACACTCTTTGCAAAACTCACAATTATGCAGTCTAGAACTAGAGATAGATAATGATTTTTTGATGCATATTTATACCTTAACAGAAATCTAGAATATTCTATGCAATACTAGATTTTCTGATGAAATAATACTCAGTTAAACCAATGAAAAACTCAGAAAGTTCTAGCAACATGACACAATAATCTCACTATTGAAAATAACCGCTAACTTATAATACCAGAACATATGAATCGTAAACAGTTACATAAACAAACTTACCATAAAATATTGCTTCTGAAAATAGCTACATATGACACCCGCACTATATAAACTATCTAAATCATAATGTTTACATTAAACTTAAACTGAAACATTCGTGTATATCCAACAGTGACAAAACATCAATATATCTATATAGATGAGCAGCAGGTGTGCTTTTGCTATTAACAATTTTTACTCTTTCCTTTTTTCTTAACTTTCATTAAGCTTTCTTGCTGGATGTACAATACTTGAATGCTTATAAGCATATTAACATGCTATATATGCACTGCTAGGAAATATGGATCTCTGGAGCAAACAACTGGTGTTTTGTGATTGATTCCCTACTCCTTTTTTATACTTAGTTTCCTTAAATATTATTGATTCTAATGTTTAAAAAGAGTTGAATACTTTTTACATTAATTTACACACTATTTTGCATTGTTAACTTACTAAATGGTTTGATGATTAACTAAATCTCCTATGCTAGTCAAACTTTAGAAAATATTACTGGGATTACAGCCAAAAAGTACTGTTAGTAGCAAGGTGTCCTATTGATCATTCAAGGCAATATAAATTTTACAGGTATTGGTTTTCTTGTGTATTGACTTATATTATGAAGTACTTCTGGCCAGTTTGTTATACAGGATTGGTATAACTAATTTACAAATTATTTTTCTATTACAATTTTGTGAGAAGTTATTATTAATTACAGAAAGAGGCAAATTTCCATCTTTAAAGTTCTTATCAGGATTCTCTACTTACAAACTCTATCCCTGCCATCCAGTCACTTCCTGTATCAGGGAGTTTTCCTAACCACCTCACACAACCATATTCTGGTCCATCATCACTCATCCACACAACACGAATTCCTAGCTTCAGTTCAGGAGCCAAAGTGTCATCAATACAGGCAGACTCCAGAGGAAGGGGTCTGGATCCAGACCTACTCAAGAGTTTTTGGCTCTCTGTAGAACCTAAAAACAAAATACAAAGTCTTCATTGGAAAATAGTTAGTATGGAAAAGTTTGTGTCATCTGTAAAAAATTTAATATTCTGATCTTGTAGAGAAATAATTCATATTTTAACTGAATGAGACTTTCTACATGTACCCATGACAGATCAATGAATCCTAAACCCACCAATAAATTAAACTATGCAGAGTGAAATTTCGAGAAGTGTGAAAAGGAATACTGCAAAAAATTGAAAGAAGTTACATTTTTGTACAAACTTTGATAGGAAATAAGTTCTGAAATTTTAATATCTTGCCTACAAGAAATTAAATGAAACAAAAAAGCTCTGGAAAGTTGTGCTACCATGAAATGGTATATTCATTTTGTTAATTTTAGGGAGTTTTAAGTATTTTTAATTCAAAGTTTGAAGCATCTTCAAACTGGCAAAACATGTTACTAGTTATATATGGTGGCCATAAAACATGTCATTGAAATTCAATGTCATATTTTGATAACCTTACATGTGTGTGTGCAATGTATGAGAATACATGAATTTAAAATTTTTATCACAGAAGGACTTACATTAGACACAGTGTAACAAACAATTTAACAGGACATTCAGGCAGATACACACACATGCATGTAAATATGCAGAATTTTTCAAAACATACATGTAGCTTTTTGTTCTCTCTGACTGTCACAAATGTTTTAATCTTTGTAAAACACAACTTTAACTTCTTAGAGAGCAGGAATGAAAATTTTATTTTAACCCATGTGATGATTCATTCAAAGTAAAGTAATTACACAGAGTGTTTTTATAATCTATGGTAATAATAGAAAGATAAGTAACTAGGCATAGTTTACATTCCCTTTTTCCACCATGTATGGCATTCATGTGGTGACCCTGGTTACGATCCACTGACCTGTGGTGCAATACACCGAAGTTAATTTTGCCCCTCTACTCTTCACGTTTTCCAAAGCCTATCAACAATGCTCAGACAATGAACAGCTTTCATCAGTTGGTCTTCCATTTAGCTATGTGTTTTGGGAGGAGGTTGTTAGCATGGTTCTTAGGTTGCTTTTTGTAGACCTAAGTATGTTAAATTATTTTGTTTACAATTCCAAGGGAGGTTCCTACTTTATTGGACCACTATATCATGGGTTGCTTCTGAAGAAAAGTTGTTTTACTTTCTTCACTACCTTCAGTGAGGAATTAGTCTGTTTTAACCCTGGTAGAATCATGAATTCTCTTGTTTGAGAGATGTGGTACATCATTACAGCCATCACTTTTTTTGAAACATTAAAATTTTGTGCCTTGCATGCTTTTATGATTGCAAAATAGGAGAGCTTCACATTAGAAAGTTTTGTAATGTAACCCATCTGCATTTGCAAATCACTTCAGATGAATTGTGATGTTATGGTCAGGGATTTTAACTGTGTAAAAGGTCAGGAGCAAGGTGATTAGATATCTTAATTGTTACCATTAATTTTGAACAACCCTCTATACATTCATATCAGTAGATTGATATAAGAATTGCCATTTAAATCACTAAGTTAAGAAAACTTTCACGATGAAGATAGAAGAAAACTTGGGGAAATTATACATACACTTGAGGCACATGAAATACAGTCTTATTTTCTCTTATCTAGCCAATAAACAAAGATTTTAGATTCTGAATACTATGCCTTCCAAATGAAACACATCAAGTTCCCATCTTCAGGCTAAAAACATTTTGATTTAATTATATTAGCATTAAGGGAACAAGATAAAATTTGTTCAAAAAAGTATCTTAACAATATTAATTAAAAGTACAATACATGAATTTTAATAAAATACTAACTTCCCATTTGAATATTTTTGTTTCTTAATTTGGGTCAAAACAGGTTCTTAACATTCTATTAAAGAATTGTAATCACTGTGAATAAACCTTTAGGTGAAATGTATATCTATGATGTGAATAGTAATTTATTTTGTATTGAAAATTTTCAGTCTATTATCAGTCAGAAACAATTTACCCAAAAGGTTTAAAAATACTCGACTAAAACTTAATCAGCTGTCAGAGATTTTAGTTATTCCACTAATACACAAAAATGAACATTACACAACAGCATAGCAGTATCTCCTCTTAGTAATGTGAAGCATTCTATGATGATTTTGAATTTCACACATAAAACTTTGGTGGTAATATAATGCATTGATACATTAATTTATTCCATTTAAGTGTACCTTTATGTAGATAATTCTGGATCTATTATCAAGACTTGGTCATTTACATAGAGAGAACTTCTTTTAGTTTGAAAATAAAAATAGGAATAGAGTAAGTGTTTATTTTAAGTAACACAGTACTGGAATTAAAGCTGATGAAAGCACAATCAGGTCTAATAATGGAAGAATTCACAGTTCTTGAACCCACTTTTGAGTTTGGGCTTAGGAAAAAAAAGGAAAATAACATGGTGAAAACCACTGGATCAGTGAGAGCAGAGAACTCACACTGCTTTACAATTATAAGTCCATCTTGCAATGGCTGCTGGCAATATCTGTAGTATTTGACCAGCAGTAATGGTCAAGAAGATGTCCCTTCACTATATAACACCAAGACTGAAGTAAGACATGTGATATGAAGCTACCTACGGTATTTTCACATCAAACCAATTTTTCTTACAGAAAAGACATGGTCTTCAGAATAACGATATATCTGAACAAGATATTTATTACAAAGTAATTCTATTCTGTGAGTTAATGAGTTTGTGAGAAGGAAATAAATGGACTAAGCACAATTGTACAAAAATATAATAATCAATCTTTATTCAATTAGGCACAAAGACAATGTATGTACTTGTTTACGGATTGTAAATTATTTTATTTTCTCTCTAAACTCTCTTGTTTGAGATTCTTTTCCAAAATGACTAATTCTTTGTTATTATCTTAATCTGATATTATCGTTTAACTAAGACTGAATAGCACTACCCATGTAACTGGTCATTCCCACTCAAACATAAGGGAGGTTGTAACATCAGGACACCATCTGAGCTTTCATTTGAAGACACTGCTGTTGGCATTCCTATACAATGTACACTTTATAGACCCCCACCACTCATCCACAGGAAGACTGGCATTATCTAAAGGGAATGACAAAGAAAAAGGTAGCTAGAAGACAGCAACTTAATACTTTATTGACCATGTGTAATATGAAACTTGCACATTTCTAGAAATAACTAACTTCAAAAAGTTCTATATAAAATAAAAAGGTAAAAAGTCATGGTGCTGTATAACACACATCTACTGCAGCTAGTGCAAGACTGTGAAATGATCTTGACTTCATAACAATGGGATGGCTTGGTAAAACATTTGGATAAAGACAAAGTCACCTTTGTAGGACCAGATGGAAATAAATTGCTAGAAGGATAATAACCCAGAAATGATGGCATGCTCATCTCATTAAACAACCTCACCATAGATTATACAAAGCAACCACTGAATTAGTTATGGATAACAAATAAAAATATTTAGAAGAAATTTACATGACTTTCAGAAATGTTTGATCATTTCAAGTTACAATAACAAAAAAGGAGAATAAATCAAGGTTTTATGTGAGTTTTTCTATGATCAACACTGTTATCCAATGGACAAATTTTCACTTTCCTAGATTAATGAGTGCTTAAACACCTTAGAAAAATATGAGTGGTTAATGTAACTTTGGTTACTGGCAAGTGGTACTAAAAGAATCTAGTAGTTTCAGTGTTGCTTCTTTCATTGCTAGTGGTTTGTATAACTCAAGATGAGTTTCACATGGGGTCTCAGAGGCCTGGCCAAAAATTTTAAGTAATGCCATCAATAGATGACAGCACAGAGGTGCTTGTTGTTCTCAGTACCTTACTACAACTCCTGACAGAGTGCATACCCCAATTTCCTCATTGTGGTGCTACATGTGCTTTGTACTATTCATGGCTGGGAAATGATGTCATGCATCTCATTAAGCATCATGTGGAAGGTGCTTGATTGGCAGAAAGTAGGCCATAGCTGATCTAGATACATGTTATATCATTGGTTATGGTGTTTTGTACTATTCATGGCTGAGAAATGATGTCATGCATCTCTTTAAGCATCATGTGGGAGGTGCTTGGTTGGCAGAAAATAGGCCATAGCTGATCTAGATACATGTTATATCATTGGTTATGGTGTTTTGTGTTGCAGTATTACAAGTTTCTCAATCAAATATTATCAATATGTCAGTTAGATGTTGTGCCTTAAATTGTACAAACAGGTTTCAGAGTGGTAGTGGGAAGAATTTCTCCATATTCTGCCCAAAAATGAGAAAAGGACAAAGTGGATAAATGCCACTGGGAGCCCAATATCAACACAAGGATCTGTAGTGATCATTTTATTGAAGGTAAGATTATTTATAGAAAGAGGGGAAAAAAGACTGCAGAACACCTGTTGCTAATTTATAATTCACAGTAAATAGTCATATTCTGCTCATAAAAACAGAAGAAGCTTACAAGTTTTTCTATTTTTTATTGGGGACAAAACAATATCTGACATTAATAAAGAGAAAAACTGAACCTCTTTCAAAGCCTTGTTATTGGAACTCCATGTACAAATATTCCAAAAAATCTTAAAATTTAGATTATTTGTTGCTGAAGTGTAAAAAATTGCATACTATATACATACTGGCTCTTTAGTTATTTTTATTTGACAAATGTTTATTTCAGGGTAACCATCAGATGACTCAATCAATCCAGACTATGTTCCTACCATATTTATTCACTATACCCAAAGTAGTTCTGTAATTTCTGCAAAGAAAACTCATTATGCAAAGACCATAAAAGAAAGGAAAGGGCTGAAGTGGCTGAAATACAAAAGAAAAAAAGAGGGAGAAACATCAAAGTCTGAATGTTCTAAAGCATCGTTAGAATTATCCAGTCAGATGCCACGATTCACAGATAAAGGTAAAAAGAAATCAGGTTCTGACTGTAAATTATAAAACAATAGATATAAAGACACTTTCTTAGATCACATATTT